AGAACAATTCACTGTTATTCTATGATCACAGTACATATATATCACTGCTCACCAAACTGAGTCACTCTTATACTGTGTACACACGACATATATAACACTCTTCACTTGAACAATTCACTGTTATACCATGATCATAATACATATACAACACTGTTTTCCAGATTAATTCACTGTTATACTATGATCACAATACATATATAACACTGTTCACCGGAAGAATTAACAGTAAACTGTTCAGAAGAGAACAATTAAAACTGTTCTCTCATACGTACTACATAACACTGTTCATCATATCAGATCACTGTTAGTGTTCAAGGGCTATATATAACACTAGCCACCAAAGGTAATCACTGTTATACCGTGTTCATAATCTGTACGGAACAGTGAACACTGGAGACCATAAGTTATTTTAAATTCACACTTGTCGTTTTTTCAAATTTAATTATATATATATATATATATATATATATATATATATATATATATATATATATATATATATATATATATATATATATATATATATATATATATATATATATATAACACGTCGTGTCTAATAGGTAAAATTGCTCAATTAGCGAGAAGTCATTTATAATTAAGTCCTTCCTAAAATTTTCTCTTATAGGTTTAAAGATATATATTTTTCATTTATGTTAATGTAAAAGTTAATAATTTTGTACCAAAAGAACCTTAGAAAACTTACCTAACCTTATTATTAACAATCGCAATTCAATTTAGCCTAATCCAACTAAATATGTATTTTAGATAAGTTTACAATAATTTAATAATAAGCAAACACAATGAAATGTAATTTTTTCGTTAGGTTCAAGTGATTTTTGCGGAATTATTGCATATACAAATTTTCGCTTGCCATATTCGGCAAGAAGAGCGTTGCTATTTAAGCCAAAATCACAAGTTTTGCCTATTCGGCAAGAGAGTTATTGCTGTTTGCTATACGATATTTATATATATATATTAAAGTTTTATATATATACAATTATATATATATATATATATATATATATATATATATATTATATATATATATATACATATATATATATATATATATATATATATATATATATATATAATATATATATATATAATATATATATATATATATTATATATATATATATATATATATATATATATATATATATATATATATATAATATATATATATATATATATATATATATATATGAGTTTAATATTCATCTTCCAATAATTAGAATACTTTTTTTTCTGATGGCAGTAATACAAGTGAATTTCGATTCGCTATTTATTTTTATTTTTCAAAAATTCTCTTGATACTTTTTTTGTTTGATGCGATGAAAATATTTAACACTGTATGCTCTAGCGATGTGTCCCTAGTTTAAATTTGCTCTTCACTGTTTTCTTTTCACTAGTTTTTAATACGTTTTCTGTTATGAAATATGTATCACCTCCAAGCTCAACTGAACAATGAAGAAGTTCGAGAGAAACTGAGCCAAGAGATGGCGCTTACTTACCCCGGCCAAGAGATGGCGCTTACTTATCCCGGGCCAAGAGATGGCGCTTACTTATCCCGGGCCAAGAGATGGCGCTTACTTACCCCGGCCAAGAGATGGCGCTTACTTATCCCGGGCCAAGAGATGGCGCTTACTTATCCCGGGCCAAGAGATGGCGCTTACTTATCCCGGGCCAAGAGATGGCGCTCACTTACCCCGGCCAAGAGATGGTGCTCACTCACTACTATCATTACTACTACTACTTCTAATATTGTTACTGATATTTCTTCTAATATTACTACTACTAATATTGCTACTAACATCGCTTCTAATATTACTACTACTAATATTGCTACTAATATTGCTTCAAATACTGCTAACACTCGCCAGGCCAAGTGTCCATCGACAAGCATCTTCGACAACTGGTATCTACGACATACACACTTAAGACTGGTAGATCAACGGAATCAATTATGTGAGGACATAGTCAGTATTACAAACGTAAGAAATTTAAAACATTATGTGATAGAGTTGAAGACGGGACACCACGAGTATAACTCTGCTATTGTATCTACAATTAGATAGTTTTTCACACACACATAATCACTACATGCAACCTGTGTTTCTCACCAAACACTGAGTGTTTAGTCCATAGTTTTATTAAAGATTTCTTCTCCACAAACAGTCTTGGCACTCAGGACTTGCCCAACTTTGTCTATATTTTTTAAAGTACTCTTCTGCTTCACAAAGTTTTGCAGGTTTGTTAAATATCTTTTGTTTCTTTGTCTTTTGTTAACCATATTATCTCATGTTTATAGCTTCCTAAAATTTCATTCACAAAATTTTTTGTTGCTGTTCGACATTCTTTAGTATTTTGAAAGTTTTACTCTTGTATCTCATTTTACTCACAAAGTTCGAACGTTCATCTTCGTATTATGCAAATTACTTCCTTGAAAATATCATTAAAACTTCAGGAGATCTCAACCGATCTTCACAGCGACGTTCATTTGTAGTCTAGCTAACTGAGAACATTCATCAGATCATGTAGTATGTCGCACTGTTTTGCTCCTGACTGTATTGAAAGCCCTCAGATAATCACCTATCACTCTCTCACTTGCCTAACACGTCTCTTGTCTTACACGTCCCTCGTGTGACTCTTGACGTGTTATGTTCACTTTGAGAACCTTCCACGTCATTTCAACTAGTACTTTTGATCAACGTACATACATTTATTTATGGAAATTTCCTCACGTTGTAGCGTCGTCTTTCAAAGATTAGTAGATAAATACAGAAAAGAGAGATAATAGCTCTATTAAAGCAAGTGTTTTAATTAAGTATAGACATAATAACATATTTGATTACCGTACCTATCTTACTTAAACTGAAGCTCAGTCCTATATAAACACTTGTACTCATTATCCACCATAGTCTAATGTTTCACTTTTTTATACTTTAAAAAATAATATCAAATCTACCATTTTACTGAATTTAACATTCATCTCTCTAAGAAATTAAAGCCTACTGCAGAGCCTAGTAAAGGAATACTAGAAAATTATATTTTTGGTGACTGGCACTTTTATTATACAAGAGTCCCGCTAACTTTTTTTTTTATTTCTTCGTTCTTCTTTATTGTAATAAGAGAAATTGGATACAACCATATTCTGCATGGAGTAAATAGAGAGCAGCTGTGTTTCCGTATTTTTTATTTTTCTAAAAATGATTATATACACACACATATATATATATATATATATATATATATATATATATATATATTATATATATATATATATATATTATATTATATATATATATTATATATATATATATATATAATATATATATATATATATATCATATATATTATATATATATATATATATATATATAATCATAATATAAATATATATTATATATATATATATATATATATATAATATTCATGTAATTTCCGTAATCTCATTTTGCTTCCGATACCGTGGTAGCGCCTCGGTTCTCACCCACAATTAATTTATTTTCTTCTCCGTCATTCAACTTTTCCAAGCACTTCGTATTCCATAGCATCACCTAACGGGTCACGACCTCGTTTTCGCCAGTCAGTCTCCACTTACGTTAATTCATAACCAAATTCTCGCTCGGGCTTCTCCATTATTAGTCAGTCAGCCCTTTAGCTAACTAGATTACGATCCAGTACACAGTGGAAGAATCTGTCTAGTAAGAGGCTGGCACATACCCCAAATATCTCCGGGGTCTACCCTCCTCCCCTAAACTTGCCTGACCAAGGGTGAGGGGTGCCCCTGGGCGTGGGCATGGCTAGTGCAGAGTCATGGGGTGAGTTGGAGCGACCCTTCCTGCTCACGACACCGCCTGAGGACACTCGAGGATAACTGCGTCTTCCTCCATGAATGGAGACTTCAACGTGTCGCAGATAGTGAGCTTCTCGGCGAACGCTGGAGATGTCGGCATCATGTAACATGTACACAGTTATCAAGTCTATTGCATGTATTCACTGCACAAACATATATACGCACACTTATTATATATTACTATATATATATATATATTATATATATATATATATATATATATATATATATATATATATATATATATATATATATATAATATATATAATATATATGCGCTGTATGTATACACATTTTTTTTATAATTAGATACTACTGCACCAATTTTATGAGTCCGAACATAAAAAAATAAAAACTAGCTTCCACTGTCACTTCGTTGTAATTTATGTTGCAATTTTACATCATAAATTTACTACATGTATGTATGTGTTTACGTCTTCACCGTACACAACCCAGTAACTCAGACGCACTTTGCAACACGTCTGCGGACACAACGATTTCTTCTGGCTCCCAGTAGATATCTTCACTTAATACACTCGCATATGGACATGAGAATGAAACACGTAGATGTGTACTGAAAATATGAACGCTAATTCAATTTTACGAATGATATAAGAGGGTTCATGAGGTGTGATAGAGGCCCGGGTGATAGAGGCTATACTGGAGCCTCACTGCTGGATGATTCCTTGTGAATTATGCGCCATGTGATCAGGAACGCAGCGGTAGAGGAAGAAAGAAACGGAGAGATGGAGACTGCAAAAGGGGTGAGGGAGTACATACAAAATAACCTGAAGTAGGGAGGGCAAGAGGGCCATGAATAGGAAGAATGAGAGGGCAGGGTAGGGAGGGTGAAACCTTGACTAGTGAGTGTGGGAGGGCCTTGGCTACGGATGGTGAAAGGATCATATGTAGAAAGGTAGAAAGCCTTGGGCAATCTTGGGGTCCTTAGGTACGGATGGGATAGTGAGCTTTTGGTAGAGGTGAGAGGGATTTTAGTTAGAGTTACAGGTGTAGGGTATGAGAAGGCTAGGTGAAATAAATACGAAGATAGGTGAAAGTTACATGAGTAAGTTAAGGGCCTGGGTAGATGTATAAGGAAGCAGCAGAGAGGGACATATTAAGTACCACAAACATACCTGGGCAAGGACTGGCTGGTCGCGTGGTGTGATGGCGTCAGCAGAGATCCCAGAGTCTGCTGGTGAAGGTAAGTCCACTGTGAGGGTGCTGGACACACCGTTGGTCTTGTACGGCGGCCTGAGGTAGCGGTCCACGAAGCCGGTGTCGGCTGAAGGGTACTCCTGACGCACCGAGTACTGTGGCTCACTGGGGGAGTAGTAGTCGCGGTAGTAGTTGTCCGTAACTGTGTACACGGCCGGGGAGCCTCGCACGGCTGGGGAGGTGCTGGTCGTGTACGGCTGTGGTGAGGGCGACAGGTAGGGCGAGACGTGCTCGTAGTTGGACTGTGGGGAGGAGGCCGAGAAGCCGGCCAGGTAGCTGCCTGTACCGGTACTCATCTTCTCGGCTGAGTCGAGGGGCGCCTGTATCACGAGGGTGTGGTTAGAGCGAGGTCGCTCCCCCGACTCTACCTTGAGCCCGTGGTGCTCCAGCTCTTCTTTAATCACGTGGTGGTCGAGGTCGTCCTTGAGGGCGGGTGCGACATCCAGAGCGGGCGGTGACTCTCCCTGGGGTGGCGGCGGCGGCAGCAGCGAGCGGCGCTTCTCGCACAGTACGCCGCGGTCGGCGGGACTGACGGCTCGGCGCGTCAGGTCCTCTGGCTCCGGCTTCACGCCCTCTGCGCCGCCCGCAAACAGGAGCCCCTCCACGGGCGCCGCCCCCGACACGCCCTCAGACACCCCGTTTGTCATCTTGCAGTCGAGAGCGCCGCCCACCACCGCCGTGCCTACGCCAGACCTGCAAACAAAGGGAGGTAATGAGTGGGAGCAGACCAATGAGGTGGGAGCGAGGGGCTGGACTAGACCAGCCAGGGAGGACACCACCGCCTATCCAAGGCTCGGGGAGAGTGGGAGGCGGGACTAGCCATGCAGAAACCCCGCCCATCACCGTCACTCAGGTGATGGGTCCGTCCTTCTTACATAATACCACCTCAATTCCCAGAGTTTCCTCACTGCTGCTACCATAGTGGATAACACAAACAGTGAAAAAACACGTGAAGTTGTTTCTCTTGGATGGAATAACAGTGACAGTGTTGCACAGTGTTGCAGGTGTTGTGTTTTGTGCCGTTGTTGCAGGAGTGATTTGCAGTGTACATGCAGCCTGTACCTCCCTCGCCCCCCCCCGGTGGCCCCTCCTACCCATGAGCACTGCGCTCACCATAGCCCCTAGGGCATAACTCCCACGCCCGCCATCGGGTCCCTCCGCCCACGCCCGCCATCGGGACCCCACGTCCACGCCTTCCCTTGAGCAGGACTTGCACACCTGCCTTTAGGCTGGGCTCCCACGCCCTCCCTCGAGATGATGGCCATCACACACCCTCGGGCTCCCACTCTCACCCACAGTAAACAAGCCATTTCTCGGTCTTCCACGCCAACCCTCGGCCTCCCACGCCCGCCCTTGGGCTCCCATGCACGCACTGTGTGCCGCTCCTCTTCCGCCTTCCAGCTTTTCATCACACGCCCTCGGTTCCCACCTTCCTTGGGGTTCTCACGACGACCCTCGGCCTCCCACCCCAGACTTCTCGATCCCATGCCCGATCTCAAGCTCCCACACCCGAACTCGTGCCTCCCACGCCCGACCTCGCGCTCTCACACCCGACCTCGTGACTCCACCAACCACCCCAACCCTGATCGGCTCCCGCTCGCCCACCATCCATGGCTCATACACCCACCCTCGTGGGCTCCAACACGCCACACCTCACGCTCCACGCTGATCCTCGCGCTCCCATGCCCTACCTTTGGTTCCCACGCCAGCCCTCGGGCTCCCACGCCAGCCCTCGGGCTCCCACGCCAGCCCTCGGGCTAATCTCCCACACCTCAAACACCCGCTAAGTGGAAGGCCACGAACCTTGTCTCTCAAACTGTAGGGAGGATCAAGAGAGTGTAGGAGGATCAGGAGAGTGTAGGAGGATCAAGAGAGTGTAGGAGGATCAGGAGAGTGTAGGAGGATCAAGAGAGTGTAGGAGGTTCAGGAGAGTGTAGGAGGATCAGGAGAGTGTAGGAGGATCAAGAGAGTGTTGAATGATCAGGAGAGTGTAGGAGGATCAGGAGATTATAGTAGGGGAGGATCAGGAGGCACACAACACAGTGTTACCAACCACCCTGCCAGGAGGTACACAATACAGTGTTTCCAACCACCCTGCCAGGAGGCACACAACACAGTTTTACCAACCACCCTGCCAGGAGGCCCACAACACAGTGTTACCAACCACCGTGCCAGGAGGCACACAACACAGTATTACCAACCATTCTGCAAGAAGGTCCACAACACAGTGTTACCAACCACCCGGCCAGGAGGAAGTTTTTTTTTTTGCAAAACATATTTGAACAGAGAACACCAGTGAAGACAGTGTGTTTCCAAGCACTGGCATCTAGGTGAGTACAAATAGGATGCCCGTTTGTCTCGAGCTCAGCAGACGGAGGATCGAACCTCCACCAGTCATGCGCTGAATGACCCACATGGGTTTACCGTTTAATAAAAATATATATATCCAAGCACTGGCACCATCTTCCCCTTCCTCGGATCAAGGTCTTCCAGTCCCATAGAGCTCTATGATTCCTATGGGTTTCTTGAAAATATAATAACATTTAATACAATAATGATATTTAATAAATAATAATAATAATAATAATAATAATAATAATAATAATAATAATAATAATAATAATAATAATAATAATAATAATAATAATAATTTGGTATTCGAGCTCTGACGAGGAGTTGAATAAGTCACGAAACATCTATAGAAAAGTACACATAAATGTAAGTAATTCTCTTGTGGAATGCGATTGAATCCCCTTCAGAAAGTTTCAGTTATAATCCAGGTTAAGGGATTGAAGACACTCAGGTTTAATTTATAATTTAAGTTAACGGATTGAATATCTTCAGGTTTCATTAATACGTCAGGTTTCATTTATAATCTAGCTTAAGGGATTGAATACCTTTAGGTTTCATTTATAATCTAGATTAACGGACTCACGACTGTTAAACTCAACAAACCACAACAGATGGCCAGTAGTCCAGCTGTTGTGTTCCTCTATAGTTATGGTTTTGTAACAGTTTAGGTTAGGTAAGGTCAGGAAACAGGACAAGTGTTTCCTGACGCGGGTCTTAGATAATGACCCGCTGTTGGACCGTTTGGTCATCTGACCGAGACTTTCTGCTGGCTTACAGGTCCACCCCTTTGTAACACACCTGAGTTTGTTCCTCTCTCCAGCCTATATATTAGGTATCACTTGGATAGGCCTATTTGACTTGAAAAGGTCTGATATACAGGTGAAACGTTACTTGAATAATTTTATAATTAATTAGAGTGGGACAAACGTGTCTCTAATCTAAAAAAATTCTACTATTAAAGATAGCCAAAAAGATAGCTAAATGTTGCAAAGGCGACTTTAATTACTCTTTCTAATCTACAAAATAGTGGTTGTGGTTGGTGAGTGGTTGTGGTTAGTGAATGGTTGTAGGTGGTGAGTGGTTGTGGTTGGTGAGTGGTTGTGGTTGGTGAGTGGTTGTGGTTGGTCTTAGCACACTCAACCATCACCAGTCTTAGCACACTCAACCAGCACCAGTCTTAGTACACTCAACCAGCACCAGTCTTAGCACACTCAACCAGCACCAGTCTTAACACACTCAACCAGCACCAGTCTTAGCACACTCAACCAGCACCAGTCTTAGCACACTCAACCAGCACCAGTCTTAGCACACTCAACCAGCACCAGTCTTAGCACACTCAACCAGCACCAGTCTTAGCACACTCAACCAGCACCAGTCTTAGTAACTAGCACTATCTTGCACACCAACCAGCACCAGTCTTAGCACACTCAACCTAGCACCAGTCTTAGCACACTCAACCAGCACCAGTCTTAGCACACTCAACCATCACCAGTCTTAGCACACTCAACCAGCACCAGTCTTAGCACACTCAACCAGCACCAGTCTTAGCACACTCAACCAGCACCAGTCTTAGCACACTCAACCACCACCAGTCTTAGTATACCAGCACCCAGTCTTAGCACACTCAACCACCACCAGTCTAGTACACTCAACCAGCACCAGTCTTAGCACACTCAACCAGCACCAGTCTTAGCACACTCAACCAGCACCAGTCTTAGCACACTCAACCAGCACCAGTCTTAGCACACTCAACCACCACCAGTCTTAGCACACTCAACCAGCACCAGTCTTAGCACACTCAACCAGCACCAGTCTTAGCACACTCAACCAGCACCAGTCTTAGTATACTCAGCACTAGTCTTAGCACACTCAACCAGCACCAGTCTTAGCACACTCAACTAGCACCAGTCTTAGCACACTCAACCAGCACCAGTCTTAGCACACTCAACCAGCACCAGTCTTAGCACACTCAACCAGCACCAGTCTTAGCACACTCAACCAGCACCAGTCTTAGCACACTCAACCAGCACCAGTCTTAGCACACTCAACCAGCACCAGTCTTAGCACACTCAACCAGCACCAGTCTTAGCACACTCAACCAGCACCAGTCTTAGCACACTCAACCACCACCAGTCTTAGTATACTCAGCACTAGTCTTAGCACACTCAACCACCACCAGTCTTAGCACACTCAACCAGCACCAGTCTTAGCACACTCAACCAGCACCAGTCTTAGCACACTCAACCCGCACCAGTCTTAGCACACTAACCAGCACCAGTCTTAGCACACTCAACCAGCACCAGTCTAGCACTCTCAACCAGCACCAGTCTTAGCACACTCAACCACCACCAGTCTTAGTATACTCAGCACTAGTCTTAGCACACTCAACCACCACCAGTCTTAGTACACCTCAACTGCACCAGTCTTAGCACAATCAACCAGCACCAGTCTTAGCACACTCAACGCAACCAGTCTTAGCACACTCACCAGCACCAGTCTTAGCACACTCAACCACCACCAGTCTTAGCACACTCAACCAGCACCAGTCTTAGCACACTCAACCAGCACCAGTCTTAGCACACTCAACCAGCACCAGTCTTAGCTACTCACCAGCACCAGTCTTAGCACACTCAACCACCACCATAGTATACTCAGCACTTGTCTTAGCACACTCAACCACCACCAGTCTTAGCACACTCAACCCCACCAGTCTTAGCACACTACACCACCATCTTACCACACTCAACCAGCACCGTCTCACACACTCAACCACCACCAGTCTTAGCACACTCAACCAGCACCAGTCTTAGCACACTCAACCACCACCAGTCTTAGCACACTCAACCACCACCAGTCTTAGCACACTCAACACCACCATTCTTAGCACATCAGGTACACAGTTCAGTATAGTCAGCACCAGTCTTAGCACACTCAGGTAGCACCAGTCTTAGTACACTCAGCACCAGTCTTAGCACTCTCAACTTGCACCAGTCAGCACAATAAGCCAGCACCAGCCTTAGTACACTCAGCAACAGTCTTAGCACACTCAGCTAGCACCAGTCTTAGCACACTCCAACCACCACAGTCTAGCACACTTTATACCAGCACATTTAGCACACTCAACAGCACCAGTCTTAGTTTTAGTCAGCACCAGTCTTTAGCACACTCAGGTACACAGTCTTAGTACACTCAGCACCATCTTAGCACTATCAACCAGCACCATCTTAGCACCTCAACCAGCACCAGTCTTAGTACACTAGCACATCTTAGTACACTCAGCACCAATCTTAGTACACTCAGCACCTGTCTTAGTACACTCAGCACCAGTCTTAGTACACTCA